ATATAATGTTTTTGACTGGGGTGTTAAAAAGAATCATCTTTGCTTTAATATGGGCCAAACAATGTTCTGTTAGTTAATTAGAACTCAGTGAATCTCACAGACAGCCTGCGTGCAGTGACACGCTCATACAGCAGTCTCTCAGGAGGAGAGTTTATCACTCACACAGAGTTGGACAGATCTGTTCAATAACAACATTCTGAACATAGATTTAATATAAAGTTAGGTTTTACAGACCAAAGTCTCTGCTAGTTCAGGAGCGAAGTGCAGGAGGAGCAGAGGAGGAGATGTGACTGATCGCTGCAGCAGCTCCAGTCGAACCGGCCCGCTGCTTCAACCAAACTGCTCTCACTGAAAGTCCCGCCCTGCTCTGCTCTGATTGGACAAAGCGGCTCTGGATTTCGTCTGATTTGTTGAAGGCAGTGTCCGTTTAATCCTTAAATCAGGGTCCCACTGTGGCGCAACGAACACCGATCCATTCACACCAGTGCTGCTGGATTCTTTTTTTTATTTATTTTTTAAGAAATCAGGTCACGTTTGTGACCAAACTGGTCACAATCTAGAGTCCTGCTAACTGTTGTTGTGACAGACAATCAGGTACAATCTTAGGTATGCAAGGGAGCTTTATGACGTCCCATCTGGTGAGCTTTTACCTGTTTTGACCGCACATGTGCACCTGCACACCGGTTGTGTGCACCTCTGCTTATAAGGCTGAGTTCACCTGAAACTCATCAGACTGAAGAAGTCTCTTGGAGGAGAGACGAAACGTTTCACTAAAGAAGAACCATCCAGAGGAACTACTGATTTTTGATTTTTTTAAATAAAGTTTGATATAAAAACCCAGAGTTAATTTAGTTTGGTCTAATCTGATCAGACTAACAAAAACCTGAAGTCCAACTCTAGAATATCAGATCAGGTCCTGGCTGAAGGCATGAATGAAAACAATAGTTACAAAACGTTGTGCATTCCAGTTTATTTTATATCAAATTTCCCTTAATCAAACTGTGATGTACAAATTAAAACTGAGTTTTAACATGCATTACAGATTCCTGCGTCGTCACAAGAGAAATTTGAAAATCGAAGCACAGTAAAAACCCGTATAGATGCCAAAACCCAACCCACACACGTCCTCGTTCCTCCCTGCATCCCAGAATTAAAAGATTGTTTTAAAGTCCCCCTGGCCTCGTCTGTGAACGGCTGCAGCTGTGGGAGACTGTGGTCAGCCACGGGAAGCGCTGCTCGTTACTGACAGCTAATGTTAACGACTCCAAATCACACAGCAAACAACACGGGCAGCTGATTTGTATTTGTTGTCTCCTCCTGCAGACAGAAGAGCCTGCTGCCACACATGCAGCTGTGCTGAAGAGCACAACGTGACATTCACAATGAGGGAGACAGGAAGCTGTGACAGGTGTTTCCTCTCAGCACACTGAGGAGGAGGAGCTGAGTGCAACACAAGAGCAGACCACTGTAAACATTGACCTGTTAAAGCTGACAGCTAAGCTAATGTTAGCATGTCTTCACACACATGAAGCAGTGAAAGGGTTTCCCTCAGACCCAGACTGAAGCAGAGAGAAGAAGCAGCATTTTACCACCACAGCTCTGTGGCCTGTCCTCACACGACCCACCTGCAGGGTGGGGGTCTGCTGTCACCTTACAACATGCCACTGATGGTGGGACGAGGGGCCGGCGGTCCAGGTGGGATCGGGAGATTAAGGCACTTTAAGACTCCCGACAGTTTGGGGCGGGGCTGATGGTTTCTCTCTGCTACATGTGGCTTCAGCTGCCACAGCAGGGGTAAAAAGGCAAAGAGCACAAGGCAAAAGAAAAAGCAGACGGGCTCCAGCAGAGGTAACAGTGAGGTGAGCGTGTGTGTGTCTGTGTGTGTGTTACATGTGTGTGTTACATGTGTGTGTTACATGTGTGTGTGTCTGTGTGTGTGTTACATGTGTGTGTTACATGTGTGTGTTACATGTGTGTGTGTCTGTGTGTGTGTTACATGTGTGTGTGTCTGTGTGTGTGTGTTCCAGTCTTTGTGACAGTGTGTAGAACCTTGGCACCTGAAAATAAAACCTGCTCCTGAGCATCTCCTCAGTGGGTACTGATGGCCCCCCTGCACCGACCCGTGAGCTGGGCCAGGTGATCTGGACCAGGTGAGCTGGACCAGGTGAGCTGGACCAGGTGAGCTGGACCAGGTGAGCTGGACCAGGTGAGCTGGACC